GCGAACCACTAACGTGGCCGCAGATAGCCGAACAATATGGACCATTCGCCCAAGAATTGGACGACCTTCAAAAAGAAGGAGCATTATGGGAGGACGAACGTTTAGCCCTTTGGTGGGAATATAAAGAGTACCACATGGACATTCCGAAAGCACTCCAACGGATATGCTGGGGCCTTTTTGATGATATCATAAAACTTCGGAAGAAGTTGGCCGAACATCCTGGCGTAACCGCCACTATTTTGCCAAAGTATGACTTGAGCCTGACTATCGTCAGGACCATACCGGAACCATTGCCAGAAGCAGCACCACACATAGCAACAAGAGTGCGCTTCGATAACGGCCCATACCCCGGACAAGGCCGACGAAGGGACACCAGCGGAGAAGTGCAGGACCCTTCAACCGAAGAGGCCAAACTAACTTGTCCTTTATGTGGAGACGGCGTTGAAGCGGTAATACGGGCCATACAGACCCGTTCGCTCAACGGTAGGCAGGAGGCCGACCAGCCTCGCCACTCCCTAACGGGAATCGTCTAACCACTCCGACGGAACCGGACGAACCTGAGAAGCAGGAAATTGCAACCGGGACGCCAGAGATCCAAGAAGTGGATCTCGTGACCGATCCGGCACCAACGGTGACCGGCGGCGCGCAAACCTCCAACGAGGACAATGGCGAGCCAAAGCCAGGGCAGGACGATAAACCCGAGTCTACCGACTCGGACGTCCAAAGCTCAAGTGACTCACCGGACATGGACTACGATAACCAATCATCGGAGGAGTCAAGTGATGACGAAGAGGACTCAGAAATCCTTCAACTTCGGGCCGAAGCACCCACCATCCGCCGAACCAGACTCCACCGGCAGATGGAAGGCCTTAAGGAAGAAAAAGAAGTCTTCGTCCATAAGCGGTATACTATACCAGCCTACTCAACCTGCTGTATTAAGGTCCGTACATATAGAACCAAGGACCCAAACCGTCCAATCTACTTTAACTCGTTGCGACAACCACACCGCCAGCTCATACCGATGGAGGCGGAGGTACATAGACGTCACGTCGAGCATCCGTGGATCCAGATCCAAAATAAGTCCATGCGAGACCAGGTCCTCCGAAAAGGTGCAAGAATCGGTTACATGCATTACTGTGACTTACATGTAGCAGACATCAGAGAGGACGATGTAGATTGGGACATACCAGCCGCCAGCGCCCTACCATGGCCACGAGAGGCGGGACACAGTCCTACAAGACAGCGCGTCATAACTGAGTACGCCAAAGTACGGGCAAGTGTAAAAACGGAACTCCCACCGGAGTCCATTACACCAGTCCAAGTTACCATTGACTTCGAAGTGGACCTATGGCAGAGATTAATGTATCTCGGAAGCCAGGACACCAAACGGAGTCTGGCCATGCTCGACGGACCAGTCCAGCATGACGGCAAAAGCTTCACCATATTGGTATCTAACTACTCCACAGAGCCCCAGATACTCCGGACGGGAGTGGACATGGGCTGAGTAGAGCCATACGAGGAAATCTCGGACGAAGAATACGCCAAGATCAATTCCCTCCAAACCGGAGAGGAAGATCCAGAAGTGGAGCGCGAAATCCGTGCCCACATCGCCAACGCACACTTTGGCGACCACCTGACCGAGGAGCAAACTGCTCTACTCCGTCAGGACTTCTGGGAACTCAGAGCCCTGGGAACTCAGAGCCATATTCCCGACGTCCAAAAAGCCTTACGGCGACGTCAAAGGAGTTACCCACGTCATAGAAGTTGGCGACGCTGCACCAATCAAGATGAACCCAACCCGAACGAGTTGGAAGGGACGAGAATTCATAAATAAGCACGTCCAGGAAATCTTGGACCAAGGCGTGATTGAACCGTCCATGGCAGCGTGGAGTTTCCCAGTGGTCCTCGTTTCAAAGAAAAACGGCGATGGGACCATGGGCACTAGGTTCTGCATAAACTACATAAAGCTGAACTCGGTGACAAAAAAGAATAATTATCTATCGCCCAATCCAGATGAACTTCTGGATCAATGTGCAGGCAAGATCTATTACGGTAAAGTAGATTGTCAGTCCGGATTCTGGCAAATCCCAATGGACCCAGCGTCCATGGACTATACTACCTTTATGACTCCAGGAGGGATGCTCCGATTCAAACGAATCCCGTTTGGTGTCTGCAACGGTCCAGCCACATTCCAAATGACAATGGACAAGATTATGGCGCTGGCCCGCAAGCAAAGCGGCGTCTTCGCATATATCGACGTGATATTCTTCGGCAAAACTTTCGAGGAATTCAGGAAAGCGTTCAGAAATATGCTTATCTGCTTCAGAGATGCCGGGTTCACGATAAAACCGTCGAAGTGCGAATTTGGAATGGAAAAAGTCCAATTCCTTGGACACATCCTCAGCAAGGACGGCGTCCACACTGACCCAGAGAAGGTAGCAGCCGTCGCCAAGAAACTACCGCCCAAGACCGAGCGTCAACTTCGCTCGTTCCTTGGACTTGCTAACTACTACCGGAAGTTCACCTAGGGCTACGCCCAGAAGACTTCTAAGATGTATGAACTTCTGCGGAAGGAAAGTTCGGTCAAGAACGACTGGACTGACGCCCACACCGCCGAGTTCAACGAAATTAAAAAGGCCCCAACGGAAGCCCCTATATTGGCCAAATTTGATGCGACTAAACAGACCACCATCGAATGCGATACAAGTGGCGCTGGCATCGGAGCAATACTCAGCCAGGACTCGAGGCCAATCGCCTACGCGAGTCGCGTCCTACATGGAGCTGAGAAGAACTACGGCGTGACCGAATGGGAATGCTTAGCCGTAGTATGGGCCGTCCAAAAGTTTAAGCATTACACTGACCACGGACCATTCACCGTAAGGACGGACCATAGAGCCCTAACCATCTGCTCAGATGCGAGTCTAACCGGCCCGGCATCAATCCTCGTCTTACTCGATGGGCCCTCGCCTTACAGGGAAGGGACATCACCATTGAGTACAAGCCGGGCACATTCTGTGACAATGCTGACGCACTGTCCAGATGGCCACTCGAACGGGACGATGACAAAGGCCCACATAAAGAGTTGGACCAAGTCCCTAACTTGGTCCAATCCCTAACTTGGTAAAGACGAAATCCCAGCGCACATCATAAAGGTGCGCAGGCTTCGAGTAACTGATGAGGACCCCGCAGACGAATGGGACAAGCCTCTCCTTCCTGATTGTAACGCAATCAGTGACTGGAATGAATTCAGCACGGCGGACATACGGGTGATTAATGTACCGGCGCCTACACCGGAAGAGCCAGAGCCAGAAGTCCCACCGTGTCCAGAAAAAGTCACGGACCGCACCGCGCAAGAACTGATACTGCTGTTCGCTGTAGCGGATCCAGCAGTGTCCACAGGTTGGCTTGATGTTGGACCGGGCACCGTTAGGGCCTGGGCCGGCAAAGTTCTTCGCCAAAGTGGCGAAAATCTTCGGCATCGAGCAAACCTTCGGATCCGCTTATCGTCCAGAGGGCCGAGGCCAAGTCGAACGCCAGATGCAAACGATCTGGGACGGAATTCGGAACTTTGGCGGCGCCGGCGACGAACATCGTTGGCACCGGGCCCTACCTTGCGTGATTTTTGGCATCAACCGTGCCGTTCACGCGACTACCGGATTCTCGCCATATCACGTGTTATATGGCCGAGAAATGACCATACCACAAAACGTCCTCGCTGGGACTAACGTCCCAGAAACATTTACGACTAACGAACGTTACGTCCAGAGAATGCAGCAGCGCCTGAACCGGGCGCATGAAATCGCGAAAACGCGCATCGAAGAAGGATTCCTCAGGGACGCGGCCATCTACAACAAAAAGAAGTCGCAGGCCGAGTTCAAAAAGCAAAACTTGGTCACCCTGAAGAATATGGTAGACGACTTGACCAATCGAAACAGTTACGACGGCGTCTACATCGTTATTGGAATACCCAAGCCAAATACTTACTGGATCCGAGAGCGGGACACCGGCGTCGAACACACAGTATGTGTCGATCGCCTAAAGCCATACCTTAACCCGGACGGCCCGAGTCGCAGAATAACTCGCTCAAGCAAAAAGAAGGGCGGCGACGCCGAACCGGAAGGTACAGAGTCGGGAAGGTGCAAAGATGCGGCTTCTCCGGCAGCTTCTCACGAGACCAAATTGGAGAAGCTGCTGAAGAAGCAGAAGCCCGGAAAGGGCCCGTCCAAGAGACTTGTGGCGGAGCAGCAAAAGACTTTGCAAAACCCAGGCTATGGCCCACCTGACCCAAAGACATAGGACCAAGCAACAACAGTGAAGCGTGGCCCAGGTCGACCTCGAAAAGCCAAACCGGATTTTGAGACACCAGCGTTGACCAAGCCTCAAAGCCAGCCATTAACCGTCATTGACCCAACATTGGCCCTAGCGGAACCTGAAAAGGGGACATCCGCCACGGACAAGCCAGCGGCGACCGAAGAGCCAAAAATGGCTCCGGCGCCTAACGAAAAGCCTAAAAGACCAAAGTTGCCCAAAAAGCCTAAGGCAACCCTTACGGCCCAGCAGGTCCTGGAAGAGGACGTAGTTGCTGATGATGAGGCGGATAAAGACTTACTCACACGCATAACTACGGGTCGAGAAAAATCTGAGAAAAGCTCAAAAGCAAAAAGCAGAAGTCCAATACGCACCCATCGGGCGTATCGGACAAGTCCAGTACATGCCAACCGGATGTACAGGAAGGGACGGTTGATAAGGCTGGACAGAATGACGTCTAAATAACTTCTGACATAGTAGACTTAGAAGTAGTCTAACTGACTCTAATCTCACGATCGTCTCCGTGAGCTGCTACCTTTAACTAACCTAAACTAACTAACTGTAACTTTAAATGGTCAGTAGCTTAGAAGTAGCTTAACTCGGTCAGGCATGGTAGCTTAGAAGTAGCTAACCGGTAAAATAAACTAACCAATAGGTAGGAGTCTAACACAGTGTGATTCGTCTGGTGACAGAGCCCTACACAACAATGGAAGGACGCCGACGCGCTGATCGCTCTGACGACTCCGATCGACGTAACCGCAGACACCCATATTCACGACCGGAATCCCGGTCGGGCGGATCTTCAACTCGGTCGTCCAACCGGCCTCCGAGTGTACAGGTACCCAATATCAGAGCTAACTTAACCGCTAAGCAGCTGGCTACTATGTCTGTCGGTCCCAGTTCACGGGCCGACACACCGCTACCGCGGGCCCAGCCTCTGCCACCTCGAGCCATCCCGCCGCAATATTGGCCGCCAGGGACATTCTCTGACGACACCGGACTCCTGGTGAACGCAGCAGCAGGTGGCAGCCAGCCAAGCTCATCGTCGGGCCAAAGGTCCGACATCATCCTCACGGCCGTACCGACCCACCTCAACCAATTCTGTATGGTAGCCTACCGACCACTTCGGCGAGTCAGCCGATTTTCACAACAGTGGCAGTCGGGCCAACGGTCACGACTACGCCGGTCCATACTGGACTGCGGCCACACTATACTCCACCGCCATACTACAATCCACATTATGGATATCCATTATGGATATACCGTATCCTGCGTCTGGCCCTTCGAACCAGCCGCAGCCGGACTAGAACCAATGGCGATACCCACCACCGTGGATGTATGCGCCAGGACCATATGGATATCCACCGCCTTATGGCGGTTATGGAGCATACGGCCAACCGCCGTATAGCCCTCCTTCAGCGGCACAACCTGACCCTATGGGCTAGGCGCCGTCTGACTCGTCCATTGAACCTCCACGAGCGGGACCGGAAGCGTACCGAACTCCAGCGCCGCCGGAACCCCAGCCAAGCACATCACGGCTCGACGAGACACGTGATTACCCATTACGGGTATTCGTGGATGGACGATTGATAGTCTATAACCGGTAAGAAGAAGTTCCACTGGCATTGGCGGCCCAGCTTGGCCCTAGCCTAACCGGAACCAGTGGCAGGGCCAGCACTTAACCCAGTGTTGGCCGGGCGGGACCAGACTGTCCCACCGACAGAACCTGTGTCCTCGCCAGCGCCGGAAGAACAGGACACCGAATGGGATCCAATTACTCCACCATTACGGACAGAATCCCCAATCGAACCATTAGCTGATGGTCGGACCCCACTCTACCAACTTCAGGACAATTTGAAGGAAGTAGAGAACGCCATCCAAGAATTGGAGGCCATGATTTGAGAATTGGACAGGCGTAGGCCTCACTACCGTGAGCTGGCCCAGCGCATCCTTCTCGACCAAGAAGAATTCCGGCGCCTCGCACATGAACTTAGCGAGAAAATTGCGACACGCCAGGCCCAGCATGAAATTTTTCCTCTGCACGACCAATCGGTAATTACAATTTGGCGGCGGCGGCATCTCGCGGGCTGATGGATCAGCTGGTACAGCACCGGACGGACAGACAGCTAAGGACAGAAGGCTCCACAGCACCTACACGTCCGCCACCAGCGCCATCAGCACCACCTCCCCCGCTGAGCCCAACAGTTGTAGTTACCACTACGACAGGGGAATCCTCCGCGCCACTAGTGGCACAGCCCGCGTCTACCGACGGGGCAATGCTAATGGCCACTGGTTTGAAACCGCGTGAACCAGCATCATCTCCGTACGACCTGAGGGCATGTCCAGACATACCGCCCTTGGAACGCGAACTTCACGCGACGGAATTCCTGGAAGAGGAAATCCGCAAAACCATCAGCAGTCTGAAGGGCGTGGACATCGCCACGATACGGAGAAAAGTCGCGCTAGACTTAGAGTTTCAGCGCGTCCTGGAATGCATAACGAGGATATGACGGGCCATGCTGCGGTTTATGGACAAGCCATTTAATACGGCCAATGACGCGCCAGCACTGCGCGATTTCCGTAACTGGCAATACCAGCTTGGCCTGATCGATGAAGCAATTAGGCGCGTGTTGCCCAAACCTCGACCGGGGCAGCCAACACGCGTAGGACAAGCAGGACTTCTCACGCCGACACAATCTTCAACACGCCAACCGGCGGAAGAGTTGAAGATGCGGTTTTTGAGAATTATGCGGATTTCGGCTGAGCGATCTGCAGCCGGACCGGCACTTAGTCGACCAGCCAGTGCGTCGGACACAGAAACTGACAGCGATATCGAATGGTTCGAAATGCCGGATCCCATTCCTGTACCAGGCCTGTCGGTCCCACCGGGCCTCCAATGTAGGGCCTATTCAGATGACGGTTTCTCAAGCATTGAGGACTCGGAACCTTATCAGGGACGCCGAGGACATCGCGCGCCGCATGAACAATCGGATGCAGGATCTCAGCCCGTCTGACCCAGAAGCGGCCAGACTGAAGGAGCAGCAGGAGAGTTTATCCTACCAGATAACTCTGCTCAAAGAAATGACTCCGAATAATACGACGCCCACCGGCCTCGGACTGAGAGTTTTCGACATCTTAAAGAGATGGCTCCGCAAATCTATCGAAGATTACTGGAAGGTCCAACGACCTGTCCCGTCAATGACGGAACGCCCCGGTGACTTCGACCCAGTAAACGAACGGCGACCATCACCAGTGTCCGTGCCAGCACCTTTGGCCCTGACATACGAACCGGTCGCCCCAGCACCAGTTGGACAGCCAACATCAGCTGAACCGGCCCAGGCCCTAACGGTGCCCGGTCCAACATCAAGCCAACCTGTGGACACTGCTGGATCTGCTACAGCGGACAGCAGTATAGAAGTTCCACCGCAGGACGTCGAAATGGACGTGAGCCTGCTTGATAAAACCTTTGAACTTTCGCCGGACAAGCCGGCCCAATCGGAGTCGACACCAGCCCAACCGACTGGTAAACCGACAAGTCCAATGGCTGTTGATGCGCCAGCGGCGTCATCACAGACCACGCCGAAACCAATTTAAGGCGACACATCTGGTGGCACCCTTGTTGTCCGGCCAACGCCTAGGAAGTCGACAGGAGGAAGGCCAGAGCCAGCCACTCCTGCCACAACAAGCGGCCCACAGCCGCCCAGGTTCAAAAAGAAGAAGAGGAGCCCCGGAAGCAGAAGAGCCTCCTTCGCAGCGGTCACTCCCACCCTGGAGGGGACCGCGAGAGAACCTGGAATTGACTCGTCCAACCAGGCCAACTCTACCAGCGTGGAGTGGCCCGCCAAAGGACTTAGACATTCCCGGCCATACCAGGTCTGGCCCGTCTATACTTAAACCGAACAAGGCGGAACCACCGACTCTAACGCTTCGTGGCCTACCGGCCAAGAAGACGAAGTCAATGCCAAAGAACTTTCCTGGCAAGGACATGTGCTTTCACCTCCGGAAGCACCAGCGATCCCGTCAGGAACAACTCAGGCGTTGCGGGACGAACCTCCAACGAGGCATCGTATCCGATTGACACACACGGATTCATGGGATGACCCGCACAACCGGGCTGTTAGCGAGATCATAGAGGTTGATCTACGCTTAAACCTGACTGAGAAGGACATGCGCCAGCGACTACGCGCCGGCGATCCAGCACTAACGGACCATGAGATTGACCGCATCAACCGAGGCTGTCAGTTGTTGGTCCAAGAACGGACAATCCTTATCAGAAGGTTGATGGCCATGCGTAATAAAAGCCAGGCCCTTCGCCAACGCAAGTTGCCTGTCAAAATCATTGAGCATGCCATCTATATCAGGGGCCCACACATTGATCCAAGGGCATGGACAGTTGAACCGCGGGCCCGGCCAGGCCAGCCACTAGAAGACCAACTCCCACCGGAGGAGGCAGAAAGGGCAGGGGATAAAAGGTGGCAGTGGCACCTGCCACTGGCAACTGCTACCGGCAGTGGCACCGCACTATGCGTTCTGGCAAGCGATAAACGGAAAGTGGCAATTGGCAGATATGGCTATACATCGTAAACCTAAGAAACCTAAGTACAGAAAAATGTTACACTGTCTTTCCAGTTCTACTATGGGGCGAGTGATGGCTGTAGAGTGCGGTGAAATATCCCTCCAGTTTTCCGCGGGTGCGCTTTTCGCAATTCGTCAATCATCAAAACCATTTTGATGCTCTTGCACGGTTGAACTATTAGGTTCGCAATTACTTAAGGGCGCTTAGAAAATCAGTCAGATTGTTCTCCATATCTCCAAGCCATGATGAAAATGCGATCAGAAACAGAACAGAGAAATATGTGCTGTCAACTACATCGGCTACAGTATCCGCAAGCACAACAAGAAGGTGCCACCGAACGTTAACAGTTCTGAGCACGAGCTGCCTGCTAGCTGCCTGGAAGAAACTCGCAGGTTCTTTTTCCCTGCATTATTGTTTGTTTTGGCCAGCTTTGGGCGGAATTTAAAATTTTAAATGCCCAATGCAGTGCGGCGGCCCGCCGCCGAGATCAGTGCCGCCTCCGTTGTTTCTAAATCAGTTCAGCCGCCGTCACAAGCGTCCCATTCATAACTCATTAGTTACCAATACGCGCCCGATTTCTGCCCACAATGCGTTCGCCTCAACGGTGGCTCTAACTGAGCCTTTGGATCATTATTTTGATTTTAATTTTTCTTTAACACAATTTCTAGTGATTAAGACGACTGTTCAATAATTGTAAAAGCTATTTTAATACGCTGCATGTACATGTTAGCAACTTCATGTGCTCGAGGCAATCCTCTGATGTGCGCTGCAGCGAAAAAGCACTCCCGCAGCCCACAGCGACTTATTTGGGTTCTCGTATAGTTTCTTAAACATATTAAGTGCAAGCCGTGTTTATCTGGAAGTAATAAGAGCTTATAGAAGAGTTAATCATTCATTTTTGGATTAGTTTCTCCCTTATTATGCAATCGTGTAGGTCCCCTTTGCTTCACTGCATGAACGTTGAACGGCCAGCTTTTGTGATACCCTGCGTCTACCATGAGGCACCGTTTTAGCGGATGTCGTATAATAATGTCACGATTAAAGGGGCGTTTTCTGTGTCACTTGGGATTTAAAAGCGTTCCTGCGCTCACAGCATTAGGAGGCGCATGCACTGCTCTCATTATGTCAGGCTGAAGTGGCAAGAGATCATTGTATAAAGGCAAATTACGAGTACTTTATTCAGAATTTCTTCGATATTTTATATAAAGATTATGTATCGTTTGGATAGCAGTACCATTACATTTCACGATCCGGCAGCTGCCACGTTTTATCGCTTGCCAGGACGCATAGTGGCAATAGCCACTGCCGGTGGCAGTTGCCAGTGGCAGGTGCCACTGCCACCTTTTATCCCCTGCCGGCAGAAAGTGAGGATGAACGTCCTCAGCTACCAGCGGCCTTTTGGGGCGTCCTGTCCAGTGAAGAGTCCGAGATCGAATCAGACTTGGACGAAAATTTCCAAAGGGCGTTATATGAGACCAGCCAGGTCCGGCCACCTTCAACGAAGGAATCGCCACGCCGAAGTCGATCTCCAGCCAAAAGGACTTCTCCTGGACGCGCCACATCAACTCCGGCGCGAATGACCAGCATGAACCAACGCCCGCCAGGTTCACACCGAGTCGGCCAGGCAAATTCCCGACCAAAGAGAGGATGGACACTTCACCTCCTCAGCAGCCAACCATGACCATAACCGTTAAACGAATCGCAGCACCTACGGTGACTGCAGGTTCATCACTTGAGCCAGTAACAGTCACGGTCAGAACTCCTGCACCAATGGTCGCAGAATCGGCCAGAATGGTAAAGCAGATAACTCCGGTCGTCTTGGCCCAAGAAGTGGAAGCCGACGCGGCCTTGATGCCCATGAGTGTTCTCACTACTATCGAGCAGAGACACTTAATGATCCACGCTGACCATAATGAGCGCCGGCAATATCCGTTCCTGCTGACAAAGAGACAGGAGGCCAAGGAGCAGAACCGTACCGAAGAGTACGACATGATTACCGAAATGCTTCGGTCCTTGGTCCATCGGAT